ATATAATGTGTATAAAATATAATACATATTATATATACTATATCATGTATAATATACATTATAGAGTGCATGTAAAAATATATACTATATCACATATAGTACATATCATGTATAAAAAGATATAATAATATATAAAATAATGTAATAAAACAATAAAATATTCTTTAAAAATTTTAAACAAAAATTCCAGTGAGCCATCCTTACAATGCACTGTGAACGTCCCCGGTTTGGGCCAGCAGGGGGGTCTCCTGAGCTCCATGTCTGTGTGTCCCTGTGTCCATCTGTCCACAGGCAGAAGCGGGGTTGGAGCAATCCCTGCAAACCTTGGGAGTGCAGGAAGAGGAGCAGCTGCCCCCCAACCACCCACCCAGGGGCCATTCTGTGCCCAAAATATCCTCCCTTTCCAATAAGAGCTCAGGCTCCAAGGACAAATCTCATCCCCGTTCCCGGCAGGGTCACAGAAAAGTCAAGGATATTTATGAGCTATTGAAGGCAAAGACAATCCCTGTTCTTTATCCATCACAGGAAGAGATTCCAAAGGCCTTGAGATGACATGGATGGATTTATCCCTCCTATATTCCAGAGGCTCAGCCTCATGGCTGTCCTTTTGACCCAGCTTTGAATCCCATCCAAGCACTTTCCTTTCACCCAAAACAAGGAATAACATCTGTAATATCCACAGAATCAGCCAAAGACTTTGTTCCAAGTGTCTCTTTTTTATTAATTCCATATATTTTTTTTATTAGAATATAAGAAACAATATGTGACATACACTCCACTTGTACTTACATTAATATATTTAAAGGAATTGATGCTGCTTTATCCTGCTTATTCTGTTACAACAAAGGTAATACACAGTTACAAATCTCACACCTATGGATTAGTAAAACCAACGTCTCAGTGGAACCACCCCAGTGAAACCAGATCATCCAACAAAGCTGAAATAAAAGGTATCAATATTTTGATTTTTTTTTTCAGCAACACTTTATTGGCTTATTAGATTTCCATTTCAGTTTTGATGAAACAATAAGATTTGGGCTGGGGGAAAAAAAAAGGCATTCTCTCGGAAAATATTGGACCTGGGAAGCCTGTTAAGCCTTTTATTTCTCAATTTTCACTATCAGAGCAAAGCTGGATGAATTAAAACCTTTAATCTGTCTCTGATGTCGCTGATGCTCTGCTTTTTGTGCAGTTATTTGGTTAAAGGCAGCTCTTCCTCCTTGATTTCTGAGTTTGGGGCTTCAAAGCTCCTCTCCCGAGTCTGGGAAGAACCAGCAGATGGCAGGACTTCGCTTCCCTGGGTTCCCAAAACGTCAGATTGGGGGGTTGTGATCCCATTCCAGCTCAGATCCCATTCCAGGGGTGAAAGAACTCCTTCAGGATCAAGGAAGGACTCAGAGCCACTTTCATCCCGAGCATCCCGAGACCCCACTGAGGACCCTAAACCTCCACATATCCAGATGTGCAGCACATCTGCCTTTCCCAGAGGGCACAGATGCCCAGAACTCATTCCTTGGACACACAGACACCAGACAGAGCTACCAGGCTTCCCACAGGGGTGATAGAATCAAAGCCTCTTCTGTGGAAAATAAGGTCCCTGGGAGAGAAATCCCTTCCAAGAACCCCCAACCGGAGTAAATCAACACCGAGAAAGAACATTCTTGGAGTAACGAGGTGGATCCTTGGAGTAATAATTAAACATCGTTCCTTCTGTTTGTACAATTCCCCCACCTCAGGTTTGTCTTTTCCAAAAGAAGACATTTTGCCCTTTAAAAAACAACAAAAACAACCCACAATTCTTAAAAAAAACCTGGAAGAACTCGGTTCATTTTAAAGTCCTTCTTTCTTGGCAAACAGCAAACACCCAGAATTTGGGTGGAAAGGGCTGATGCCGCAATAAATTCTGAGTGGTTTTTTTTGGACAATACACCAAAAAAAAAAAAAAAATTAGAGCCCTTGGTGGTAGATGGTTGTTGAAATACAGCCATTTCCAGCATGGAAGCACTGAACCCATTTTCTCTCATGAACATGCTCCAAAACAGGCAGGTATTTCATTTAAGCTCTTCTTCTTTTCCAGTAAAAACTATTCCAGGATATTTTAGGCTTCTAGGGAGCAAAGCTGCCTCCCCTCGTAACCTCTTGTCCTGTGGGAAGAGGTGAATATCCGAGTTTTCCGCTCAGATTTCTGTCCCTTAATTCCAAAGTCCACATAAACACCTCCAAAGCACTTCAGGGCTGTCCCACCACGGCCCTCAAGTTCCAAATCCGGCACTTGCTTCATCAACCCACAGGTTTTATCACTTTATAAACGCCGGGTTCTTCCTGTTTATTGTCTTATTATTAATGTTTTTAATCACTTCAGCTGCCCATTTTCAGGCCTTTTTCCCCTCCTGGGCTTTACAACAGCTGAGGTTCTCACATGGATTCTCATTCTGGGGATTTTGGGGGCAAAAAAAACCCCTCTGTGGCAGGAGCAGAAATTGGGAGGTTTGGAAGAATTGGTGATAAAATGCTCAGGATTAAACTGTGATGAGCTGTCACACCCTCCCTCTCTCAAACATACTTAAATCTGTCAAAGAGATCTTTGCACATGTGTTCAAAACTGAAAATATCTCTTTTTTCCATAAGGATTATAGCACATGAGGAGGGAAGACAAAAAGGGAGTGAAGAGGGAAAACAAATCTCCAAAATATGCAATTTATCCATCATTTATAGCTCAAAACCACGAGTGAATGACCTTCAGCTCTGTCCCCTGGCAATGTCATTAATATAAATTGTTATTTTATGGGATAAGCAGCCTCTGAATGCTCCTCCCACCAGCCTTTGTTCCCCTTTAGAACCAAATCCTTGGCACCGGCAGCCCCTGGAACGCTGAGATAGGAAGGAAATGGCTTTTGGAAGAGACAACCAGGTCTTGTGGCTTCAGGTTTGTCCAGTTTGGCACCTTCAGGAGCCTCCTAAAGGAATGGCCAGGCTTTAGGACACAGCTGTGCTCATGGCTTGAAGTTTAGCTCTTTCCTAGAGGTGTTTTAAGTCCAAAATCAACCCCCAAACCTGTTATCAGGTGGCCAGAAAAGAGTCACAGCCCCGTCATTTCAAGGCAGAGCACCCTGGGTGCCACCTCGGTGTCACAGCCAAGTGCTGAGGAACAAATTAACCCAAGCAAGGAGGTTTGGAACCCTCCTGGGAGGAAGGCCGAGGCACAGGGAAGCTGGGGAACATTCACCTTATTTTTAGGAAGTTTTTCCCCAGTTTTCCCTGTGCTCCACGTGCATAGCAGAGGTTTGTGGGGCCCCGTGGCCCCAGCAGGTCCCAGGAGGTGAGGGAGGATGATTGACCCAGAGGAAGGCACATCTGAGGACCCACACAAGTGATTCATCCTTCCCAAACTCCTCATTAATTGCAGGTCACATCCTCACGACCGGTCCCTCCTGTCGGGAAGCCTGTCATTAACACGTGTCATTTAATTAAAACATGGGGGGAAGGAGGGGTTAAAAACCACGAAACCGCCTTTGCTGCCAATATTTCTACACCATCTTTCAAAAGAAGCTGTTTGTCAACTCATTTAAGGGGGGACAGACATAAAATTGAACAGTGTGTGGAGCTTTAGGTTGGATTTTGACACAAAACAGGAGAACCACAAGGAAGGCAGGGCCAAGAAGTGCCAACCACCTGATTTTTGCTGCTAGAAAGAAGAAAAAAAAAGCCCAGTGCACCTCTGATCAACCAGTGGAAGTGACAACAAGCTTTCAACTGGAACTTTAAGGCTGAATTTTGGCTTGCTTTTGCGTCTGGCAGGTCCACAGGCGAGCAAAGCAGGCAGGACGGATGACACAAAGATGGCAGGAGGACAAATCTCCCATGGGACAGCTCAGAACTTCCAGGAGCAATGCTGGGAAGATCCTGGGAGCTGAGGGGACAGCAGGAAAGATGAAGTCACCCCCAGCAGGTCCATGTGCACCATCAGGCATTGCAGGTCGAGCCCAGAGATCTGAATATTGGCATCTTGGCCTGTGACTCCACTGAATTTTGCAGACAGACCTGGTTCCTTTAGGGATGCGTGTTGTTGTGTCTCACCATCACAAGTCCAAAGTTGGGGAAACTGAGGCACCGAGTCTTTGTAAGATGCAGATGAACTTCCAGAGGTCCTGCTCCTGCTGTGTTTGCTCCATTGGGGTTGACTCAGCCCTCAAAAACTGGCATTTTTTACTAAAATTCACCTGGAAAAAGCGATTCCCAAGAGAGCTGAGGCAAGCAGGCCCAGGAGGGTTAATCAGCAAGGACAGCAACAGGGAGGAGAGATGCACTTGCTGCTCAGAGGTGAAAGGGAACGTTGAAATGAAGCTCTCAAAAGCTGCTCAGGAGGGTGAGAGGCCCAAAGGTTTGGATTTTCCATAAGAGAATTCCTAATCTCTGCCTGGAGCAAGGAAACACAGCACACATCCCACCGTAGGTACCAACAGGAGCATGTTTATTCAGGTCTGGCACTTACAGAGCTGAGAAGGACAAGGTACAGGTCACTCTTTTTCCAGAAAAAGTCAGCCCAGGATTCAGAAGAAACGAAATTATTCTATAAAAAGACAGACTGCAGCTGCAAGGGGGTGGGAGGGGGGGCCAGGAATGTGTCTCCCTTTGGATCATGCATTCCCAAAGCCCGTGGTGCCACCCACGTGCTGGAGCCAGGAGAGAGGCAGGAAAGTCTGAGCTCTTCACCTGGTGGTGCTGTGGGGGGTTAATCTTGGCGAGTCCCAGCCTGCTTTTAACCAACCTTAGAAACGAGGGGGGAGGTTATTTATTAGGTAGAAAAGCAGAAAACCCTTCCAAAACGATCCACCTTGGCCAAGGAGGCGCGAGGGCGCAGCGGGGTTTGTCCACGGGAAGAGAGAGAGAGAGAGAGAGAGACAACAGCTCAGCTGAACCGCCCACGGCTCCGACGCTTGGAAGAGCAGAAAGTCTGGGAAATGACGGCCTCGGAAGCCCGCTGAGAAGTGGAGGATCTCCTTGCAGACAGCGACAGAGAAGATATCGGCTGGTGAGACCCACGGGGGGGCCTCCAGGAGGTGGCTCTGCCTCGGCCAACCCGTCAACTCTCTCGAGCCCGGAGGACGTAGAAGAAGCTCACGAGGATCCCCAGGGCCAAGGAGGGTGGAACTGGCCCGGACGCCGCTGGAGCCACTGATGTTGCACAGGAAGGAATCGCAGCAGTAGACGGAGGCGGCCGCGATTCCCAGGTTGATCCCGGCGCTGGGGCAGATGGGGGAGCAGCCCTTGGAGATGGACTGGCCGGATTTGCCGCCTGGATTTGGGGTGGGGTGGGAAGGAAGAAAATAAGACAGGTTTAGAGCGTTTCCAAGACAAGTTTAGAGTGTTTCCAAGACAAGTTTGGAGCATTTCTAAAGGCAATTTTAGAGCGTTTCTAAGGACAGGTTTAGAGTGTTTCTAAGACACAGGTTTAGACTGTTTGCAAGACACAGGTTCAGAGTGTTTCCAAGACCCAGGTTTAGAGTGTTTCCAAACACTAAGGTTTAAAGTGTTTTTAAGACACATGTTTAGAGTGTTTGCAAGACACAGGTTCAGAGTGTTTCCAAGACCCAGGTTTAGAGTGTTTCCAAACACTAAGGTTTAAAGTGTTTTTAAGACACATGTTTAGAGTGTTTGCAAGACACAGGTTCAGAGTGTTTCCAAGACCCAGGTTTAGAGTGTTTCCAAACACTAAGGTTTAAAGTGTTTTTAAGACACATGTTTAGAGTGTTTGCAAGACACAGGTTCAGAGTGTTTCCAAGACCCAGGTTTAGAGTGTTTCCAAAGACTAAGGTTTAAAGTGTTTTTAAGACACAAGTTTAGAGTGTTTCTAAAGACAGGTTTAGAGTGTTTTCAAGACAGTTTAGAGTGTTTCCAAGACACAGGTTTAGAGTGTTTCTAAAGGCAAAGTTAGAATGTTCCCAATGCAGGTTTAGAGCATTTCCAAGACATAGGTTTAAGAGTGTTCCCAAGACAACTTTAGAGTGTTTGCAAAGACAAGGTTAGAATGTGCCTAAAGACAGGTTTGGAGTATTCCTAAGACAAGACTTAGAAAGAATCAGTGTGTAAGGGCAAATTTTGCAGTGGAAAAAAACCTTTAAGGTTTCTCTGCTGTAACTAAACACTGGACTTGGTTCAGCATAGATCTCTCCTGTAATTTTTCAGGTGTCCTCAGCAATCCCTGGCCTCAGTTCAATTAATAAAATGCCTTAAATAGATTTATACAGGGCTCAAGTGTTCAGTTATGAATTTAACAATCATAAAGCAAGGTTTGGCTCTTCTCTGGTTAAAAAAAGAAATAAAATAAAAAGGCCAGGAATTTTTTCCACAAAACCCCACACAAATGTGCAGTGGCAAAATCAGTGGGAGAAGAGCCTGAATAGGAGCTGAGACTTTTAAGTGGGGACAGAAGAGTTTGTGCTCTCATAAACTGTTTCTTTGCTCTGTGCCATCACTTGTGCAGGTAATGGCACCCATTTGTTCCAGTAGAGACTGGGAGGACACAAAACCCTTCTGCTTTCTTTTTGTCCTTTTCCTGATGCTCATTTTCGGCTCAGACTTTATAAACTTTCTAAGTGTTGTTTATGTGTGAGATGTGTCATGGACACAGCCCATTGTTATCAGGGCCTGGTTCATATAAAATTCACATAAAGCTCTGCTGAGGAATCCCAAAAATCTCACTCCAGCTTCACCCTGGGACTCCTCAAGCGAGACAAGGAGCACTGGGTGTTCAAGGGAGGCACTTTGGAGCCAAGTGTGCACTTCCAGAGAGGCACAGCCCAAATGAAGGGGCAGAGAAGAGGAAATAATCAGCACTGGGCTGAGATGGGAGTTTATTAAAGCTCCCAGGCGTTCACAACCCACCCATTCCGGCATGGAACATCCCTTCCTCCTGGAAGGCACAGCCAGGATGGGATCTTGGCTCTGCAAAGACCTCCCAGAGCACCCTGCTTCTCTCAGAGCATCAGCTGGGAAGCTCAGAGCCTCCCAAACCTTTCCTGACACTCAGGGAGGAAAAACACAAACGTCCCTTCCTGCCTCGGCCACGGAAAGCGAAGAAGCCCAGGTGGGGCTCTGGGATGAACAACCCAGACACAAGGGGGGAAAAAAAAGCAGGAGTAGCAAGCCTGGAGCTTCCCACAGAGGAAGCCTGCAGCATCCTCCACGCTTTCACTTATTCATCAGCACAACCTCCCCACCCCCTCCCTGAATTCCCCTCGGACTCCTCCGGCGTCGGAGCGGCACGTGGGCCTTAACGTGACTCCTCCCGGCAGCGCGTCCCTCCCCAAAATTCCCGGGGGATGGTCCGACAGCGGTTGCTAAGCAGAACTTTCCCTTTTTTTTTCCCCAGTCAAAGGAAGGAAAAGCCTTCGTGCAGCTTCAGCAGGTGCCCCAGGAGAGTGGCCGAGAGGGGCAGGAGGCGCTGCCGGCACTCACCGAGTCCCACTCCGACGTACGTCGTCACGCAGTGGTTCTCATTCTCCCCACACTTGACAGGCTTCAGGCAGGCCCAGTTGGAGGAGGCATCAGAGCACGAAAAGCAGATGAGTGTGTGGGCTGCAAGAGAAAAGAGACACCTCAGTTAAGGCTGGTGGGAAGATCTCCTCACTTGGTCGTCACCACCTCCGACACACGGCACGTATCGCTTCCCCCCGCAGCTATTTCACCTGTATCGACCTGCAGTTGGGGGTTTTTTCCCCAAAAAAGCTGGCCTAGTGAAAGATTCAAGCATAAGGGATATATTTTGAGCTCTTGGAAGGATCAGCTAAAGCCTGGATACAACCACAGCCTGGTAGTTTATAACACCCTCCTGTTTGCACCAAGTTCAAGCCACAGTTGCCGACTCAAAACTAAACAGCAGAGGCAAGTTTTTGGGATTTGGGCTTATTCAGCTCAGCCACCATGGACACAGTGCCCCTGTCTGTGGAACTGGATGATCTTTAGGATCCCTTCCAACCCAAACCTTTCCATGATTGTGTGACACACTCATGGGTTCGAGCTTTCCATGCCCTGCCTTTGGGCACAGGGTGGGACTCTCGGGGCTGGGCCTGTGCAGGGCCAGGAGTTGGACTCGATGATCCTTGTGGGTCCCTTCCAGCTGGGCATATTCTGTGATTCTGTGACACCAAGATCAGGCTCCACTTGACCTACATCACCTGGTGGAAATGATTTCTCAGCTGGAGCAAGTCCAGCATTGCAGCAAGACCTGCAAGGACTTGCACCATCCCACTGCTCAGGGAGTCACAGCACTACGAGGGCAGTTTGTGCATCCAAGCTTTTCAATTTGGAGCAGGAGCATCCATTTCCATGCCTTCCTCCAAGGCAGGTCTCCCTTAAATCATGGAATCACTTAGGCTGGAAAAGACCTCTAAGATCACTGAGTCCAACCATTAGTTGCAAAGTTCCCCACTAAACCAAGTCTTTAAGCAAAGCATCTACAGGTTTTTTGAACACTTCCAGGGATGGTGATTCCATCCATTCCAATGCTTGGTCACCCTTTCAGGGAAGAAATTTTCCCTAATATCCAATTTAAACCTCCCCTGGCACAATATTTATGGCTTACCCTACACCAGCAGGATGGGCTGCACTAGCTGGTTCCCATCCCTCATCCTTCAGGAAAGGGGAAATATTGGAAACCAGCATTCGGGGGTGAGAAATGGTTGTGGAAACAGCCTGGACTCAGCAGAGATGCAGGGACTTTGATCTCCTCTGTATTTTACACACAAGAACATCACACCCACACTGCAGTTGTTGACCTACATCTGCAGGCAGATCAGGGCTCTTCCCAAGGTTTCAGGGGCTCTGATTTTTTGAGCTCTTCCACGAGGCACCTCCTTCCTCCTCTGTATTTACAGGATGCAAAACAGAGCAGGGGCTGATCCAGGATGGGAAGTTCAAGGCAGAATCATTCCTGCTCCCACCATGAACAGATCAGCACAGAATCACAGAGTGATTTGGGTTGGAAGGAATCTGAAAGATCATCTCATTCCAACCCCCAGGGACACCTTCCACTATCCCAGGTTGCTCCAACCTGGCTTTGAACATTTCCAGGAATGGGGCAGCCACAACTTCCCTGTTCCGGGGCCTCATCACCCTCACAGGGAAGAATTTTTTCCTAATATCTCATCTGAACCTACTCTCTCTCAGTTTGAAGCCATTCCTGCTTGTCCTATCACTAAAAAGTCCCTCTCCAGCTTTTTTGTAGGCCCTTTCAAATATTATCCCAAAGATGTGAAGCCTCACAGAGGCTCAGCAGTCCCTGTCACAGATATTTTGAAGAATAGGTTGGACAAATACTTCTCAGAGCTGTCCCACTGCTGTGGAACTGCACAACGTGTTGAGGTTCTTCTCGATCCTGTTCCCCTCAGGAAAATAAAAAGTTTGAGGTTCTTCTCGATCCTGTTTCTCTCAGGAAAATAAAAGGGTCAAGGTTCTTCTCAATCTTGTTTCTCTCAGAAAAATAAAAGGTTTGAGGTTTTTCTCTCAGGAAAATAAAAGGTTTCTACAAGAAAATTGAGGAAAAAAAAAGCCCTAACAATTGTTCTCAGGAGAATGACTTTTGAGCAGCCACAGCCAAAGAGGAGAAAACAAAACATAATCTCACAGAAACAGATTAAAGTGGGTTAGTGGGAGGTCCTGAATGTCACATCAGGGCAGCCAAAGGACTCTGCTTTGGAAGGGAAGCCAACACCACAACCCCCCGAGAGCAGGAATTTCCTGGAGTGTCTCATCCACCCTCCAAGGATCATCACTCTGGCAAGGATCCCTGCAACAAAGCCGGGTTACCTGAGCGGCAGCCACAGCCACCATGCAGGATTCCAGGGCCACCAGCTGAGTCAAAAACCCCAGTAGAGATTCCTCAGTGGGCCCTGGCTCTGGATTTAGGAGAGGGGGAGGAGGATGGAACCAGCTGTTGAGTCATTGAGCCCTCCAAGCGCTCCCATGGCTTGGCCAAAACTCCCCGTGGGACGTCAGAGTGAAACCCAGTTCTGCTCCTTCGTCCCCTTCAGGTGACCTGTCCCAAACCCTCCACTTTGCAACCACTCTGAGGAGGCAAATTGACTCATCCCATTGCACAGGAACCCTCTGCAAGCAGGGATGAAGTGGATTACAGGCTTCCTGTGGGCATTAGGGCAGGACAGATGTCCCCACATGGATTTGCTCGTTATGCTGGAGGCACGAGTAGCTCAATGATACTCATTAAACCTCGAGAAGTTCCAGGAGCAAACACACCAGAAATATTTGTCCATGACACAAAAGTGCCTTTAGGCATGACATTCTCTGCCATGTGACTAAATCTACAGCATCTCCTACCTGTCCCCATGTTTTTCTTTGTCACACCCACCTATTACCCCTTAACAGAGACGGAATCTTTCCAGGAGAGGCAAGTCCTTCGACATAATTTAAGTGAGGAAACATTCAGTCCCTTGCTGCCCCCAAAATCCACCTAAATAACCCCCTGCAGAGTTCAGAGAGCACAGGCAGGCTGAGTGTTTGAGACAAAAGGCACAAGAAGGGTGGCAGAATTAATTTACTGCAGCTGGAGGAGGAAAGAGTTGGAGCTCAAGGCTACAGGAAAAGAAAAAAAATAATAGTCCCAAGCCCGACCAATGCAAAAGGGAAGCCGCGTTTACAGCAACTTAAGGATTGATGTGTTTATTTGTTTGTTGCTCGGAGGAACAAAGAGCTCCCAAAACAGAGCAGAGCGTTTGAAGGAATTCCTTCAGATAAGAGGTTGAATCGTTCTTGTGAAAAGCAATGCAAGGTGGGGGGGGAAAAAGCCTGGAAAAGCCGAGTCTGAAGCTCGGCGGCACAAGGGAAAATGCTGCTGCTTTGGTAGCTCTTCCATTCAGTCCCGATGCCAAAAACTCTTCCCTTTTCCATGGCTCTTGGATCATTATATACCATAGGCAAGATCCCTAAATAACACGGACAAGATCTTTGAGCAGGAGGTAAAGCTTTTCTGTAAAACACCCCCTGGATACGCTGGAAGCGTTTGGGGATAAAACTCCCTGCACCAAACCCTTTTGCCTGGCTCAGAACTTTACTTTTAAAGCTGAAAGGTTTTTTGGAAGGGGGAGGGAAGCAAAAACCCTTCTCTGCCTTGGCCTGGACAGCCCATCCTCCCAGTTGGAACTGAGCACACACCAGCTGGGCTCTGCCCGAGACTCAACGCTTGAATTGCCCGATCCCACCGGGAGGGGGGAGTGGGAAGGGCAGCAAATAACTCGTTTCGTCTCACCGGTGCCCTCAGAAGGCAAGAAGGGCCCGTGTTTGCCGAGTGGGGGCTGCGAGAGGCCAGAACTCTCCCGTTCGCTCTTTGTTCGGCATCTCCAAACAGCGACATATGGAAACAATACGCGGTTTTGCGCGGCCCCCTTGGAGTTGGGATAGTCAGAAATGGAGCCCACGGGAAGGAGGGGATGGCAGGCCCTGCCACTTGGGCAACTTGGCAGTTCAACGCCCAGCAACAGGAACCACGTTCTCCCCCGGGTTCTCCCCAGGTGCGGTGGCAGCCCCAAGATGCTCCTCACAGGGCACTGTCCCTTGGGGGGGTCATCGCCCCAAGGATGCTCGGAGGGGGCAGAATCACGAGAGGATCTGCCCAGACTTTGCTCCATCAGCCATTGCATCTCCCCTCCACCCTCCTTCCCCTCGGCTGCATCCCAGCCCATCCCAGCGCCGTTATCCCGGCTCGCCGCGCCGAAAAAGGGGGGAGAGGAGCCGGCCCTGGGTCTTTGTTCGAGCCGCAACTGGGAAAAGCTCCAGGATATCCACGCGCGCAGCTGGAGATGCTACAGCTGGAGACGCTCACCTATTCCTAGAGGCAGAGAAGCCCCGAAGTTCCTGCTTCAAGAGGGACACTGATCCGAGGCAGGGCTGGGAAAGACACCCTCCAGCCCGCTCCAAACCCTCCCACGGCTCAGCTCTGCGCCTCCAGCCCCTTTCCAACCCTTACATCCCCCTGCAAACCTCCAACTTCCAGCGCTAATCTACGCATCATTCCTCCCCCACGCCCCCCCCAATTCCCCCCCCCATTTTGCTCTTCAACGCAGAGCTGGCCGAGGGACCAAAGGAAATACCCCCAGGAGGATGTGAATGCTGCGGGCCCACCGCCGCTCCTTTTTCCCTTTTTTATCCTCTCTCCACCGCAATAAGCACCGCGGCCAGCACGGCGAGCAGCAGCGGAGCCTTGCATGTTGCGGGGCTGTGGCCGTGCTATGCGCAGAGGGCGCTGGCGGAGCGCAGGGCTGGCGGCAGGGCACGGGCACCGGGGGTGGCAAAGGGCGGCGGCCCGCCCCGCGGGCACCGGGCCCGGCTCCGCGCCGCTCCCCCCTCCGCGCCCTCCGGCCGCGCCCGCTTTCGGTTCCGATCGGGCAACCGCGCCGGGAAAAGAGGCGAGCGGCCGCCCCGCAGAGAGAAGAGGCCGGTCCTGCCCTAGTCCTGCTCCAAAAGGTTTTCCACACACTCCTACCCCCCCCGCCCTTTTTTTCGTGTCCCTGCTGCTTCCGTGAAGGAGGAGGCAGGAGCGGGAGTGCTGCCCATGTGCGGGACCCCACTAGTGCGCAGCCCTTTTCAAGTGCAACCCCCTGGTTCACGGCTCCCTGTACCCGCAGGACCTGCCGATTTCGTGCCTCCCTCCCCTCCTCTGTACATCACCATTCACAGACGCCCTGAGCGCACACACACCCCCTCCACACACTCCCAACCACCCTGTATCCACATATTCCCCGTGTACCCACGTATTCCCGGTGTGCCCACATATTCCCTGTGTTCAGGGCTCCTTGCATGGATGTCCTGCATGCAGCATCCTCCTCCCCCCCCCCAAATTCATAACTCACCCCTGCAATGCATGACACCCCCTCTTCGTGTAGGACCCCTCTGCATGCACAGCCCCCCATCCAAGAGCCAAGCACGTACAGAACCGACTTCCCCCATCTGTTTACCAGAGCCTAAATTGGATTAGACAC